CTTAGGAAGATAAAAAGCAAAGATCAAGTAAGACGAGATACTTGTGCAAGATATCAAGAACTGATGTCACGACCAATTTTTTGATGGTTATTAACTTGTCATGGGTATCACTTCAGTATACATGGTGGAAGGGTAATTTCCTCCACAAGGCAGGCTATAGGTTTTGGGTGGTGGTCAGTGTCTCTAAGGAACTGTGCTTTTCTCAAAAAAGATCACGTGGCGTCACAATCCGGAAGACCACAATCCACATCATAAGAACATTTTTTGGATATCAAGGCACTAATACGTCTTTTGAATGCACTCTGGCTAGCAAGAACAGGATGCCAGTTAAACAGCAAAGAAATCTGCATACAACAGCCATGTTACTGCCCTTTACAGCTTGTTTATGTGCATAACTACTTTCAAAACATAAATTTATACTACAAAAAGAAAAATAAATAGGTTACTCACCATTAAAGTTGTTTACGAAGATAAAATTCCTAGTAATACATCCCATATGTGGATAATACAGCATTACTTAAAACCACCCAATAAATCAATCGTAAGAGTACCACATACGGCGAAAAATCACAAACACAATAACCGAAGCGTAAATATCGGTCATTAATAGTTGCCTCGAGGCTTTCTGATACACCTGCTCCCTTCGTTATGGCCACCTATCACGTACACACACGAGTTTGTATAAGATTTTCCTGTTATTGCCAATCGAAAGCTTCATATAGTAACTCACTGCTTATAGTACACTATATTTGAGAGGTAAGGTAAATGCTTCGACAACACGCCTCCTGCTGCAAGTAACATTTCAATTAATTAACAGATAAAGACGAATAGTGTGTGTGTGTTGGCCTACATCATCTCAAGTTGACTTAATGTTTTTTCCTCTAACGTACCTATACAATGCAAGCTCAAAGAATTTTACCTTCGTAGTTGACTCTTCAAGAAGAGGAGGCTTGGAGATGAAGAAGAAACTAGTGAAGTGTTACGTATGGAGTGTCGCGCTGTATGGAGCAGAGACTTGGACACTCAGGAAGAAGGAACAGAAATACCTGGAGAGTTTCGAAATGTGGTGTTGGAGGAGAATAGAGAAGATCAGGTGGACGGATCGAGTGACCAACGAAGAAGTATTGAGGAGAGTCAACGAGCAAAGAAGCATTCTGCAGGCGATTACACGAAGGAAAGCTAACTGGCTGGGGCATATTATGAGGAGGAATGGATTAATGAGTGATATCATCGAAGGCCAGGGTGAAGGAAAGAGAGGACTAGGAAGAAGATTGCTACAGCTAATCGACGACCTTAAACAAGGCAAGAAGATGACGTTCCAGGAATTAAAACGAGAAGCCGAGAATAGGGACAACTGGAGAGCTCTTTTTGGGCAGAGCAATGGACCTGTCGTAAGACAGAACACTTAATAATAATAATAAGTTGACTCTCATTCTGAGTCTGTGAAGTATCTAAGAGCAACTTCTGATAATTTCTGTTTACAGTGCGAAGTTTAACAGCAAATACAAAAATGTTAGTGAAAGAAGGATAAACCTCGAAAGGTACAGCAGCTCCTCTGCATATAACACACCCACTATCTACGATCTTCGTCAGCCAGCGCATCGTGGATGTTTCTCGTATTTTCTGTATTTCCTTACAACCATGCCTCTGAAACGAAAGGCAGGTGAAAGAAACGATTTCAGCAGAACTGTGGAAGCTGTGATGAGAGAAAACAATAAAACACAGTCCATTAAAATGATAGTAACTCCTACTAATTTTCAATGTCCATGACCTTATTCGTGAATTTCACTAGTCATCTCAGCATCTTCATCCTATCCTTCGCGAATTCTGCCTTCCTGCCCTGCCAGGCAAGATGGTGAGAGCACTTCTAGGGGCTTCAAAGTGACGATCCTTCTTGGAGGAGCAAATGCCAGGTTTCGAATTATCCTTTAACTAAGACGAGAGGAAATACAGAAATTCCAACATGGATACATTGAGATGACTGTCTGTTGAAACGTTGCAACGTGTAGTCTGCCACAATTTATACTACTCTACGTGACGTAACATCCCAGAAGTCGGACATCTCTATAGTCGTCGCCGTGAGATCCTGAAAACTTACCTAGGTAATTTAATTGGTACCATAATTATTAAAATAAAGGAACATAAACAGCAAATGTCAGAGACTTCAGAAATAACGCGTTCGCTTTCCCCGCGTGCAAATGATTATCTCTCGTTTCTGTCAGAGTTGCTCTGCTAGGGGCATGTGAACTGCCACGAACCGCTGAGCATTCCGACTCTTAAAATGTTACCTCAGGCTTCAGTTAAGCTACCAGTGTTACACCTGTCAGTCAGAGGAAATCTCCAGTCTTCACATGTCACATGCTACTCATAAGGACGATCGAAGAATTGCAAAAACACGACATACAGAAATGGAGGCTAGCTGAGCTGTGAATGTACTGAAAGCGCAATCATGGACAACTGAAAGGGTGCGAACCTCCAGGCTGGGATTTTGGCGTGGGGTTAACAGTTGCTCACCTTAAAACAACTGTATCTTATGAAATGTTACACAGGATCTCGCACCTGGCTGGTCACTGTGAACATTGTAATTAACTTCGCGTTCCATTCAAGGATAGGAATATTTTTACTAGCTTCTGAAGGTATCTACCTCATAAAGTTATTTAGTTTTGGCCAATTTATTTATGCAGTTCTTTAATTATTTATAACGACTGATCCTTACCGTACGATACACAGATAAGATATTTAACAAAACGCTAAGTAGTCTATGAACATTCATTTGCACTCAATGAATGTGCCTGTGAGTGAAGATTTCATGTTCCCCAGATGAGACATCACTTTATCCCGAGCCACTCTGACCGTAATGGCTATTACAACATCGAGAAACAACTGGAAACCTCGCAGAAAGTGATCAGAAAGAATCCGGAAACAAACTGTAATACTGAGAACACGTACAAGCAGGCCACGTCATTGCTGGTGCTTCAGCTTACGGCAGATGGCCTATATTGCTTCGTCATAACAAATTTCTGCCATGATATTCGATCTGGGATGCTGTGTAATGCTGAACTCCATTTCTTCACTGATTGGGCCCTACTCTGTTCGACTGCAGGGACAATTTTAGTCTTCCTGTATATCTACACGCCTTTTGTTTGTACTGAAATGGACATCTCGGATCCTGTTGTGTCATTTTTCTGTACTGCTTCCTTGTTTGACAGATCACAATCGTAGTATATTTGTTATTCTGTTCAGTGTATAGTTTTAATTTCGTGCTCGCAATATCGATAATTTGCATTTACATGTCCAAAATGTGTACGGGCCAGCTACAGAAACTTGAGTAAAGCAATGAGAACTGAAGTTGTCATAGTAACGATTATGATTATGACTGTCTTCTAGGTATATAAGTGTTCTAAATGAGATACCCACAATAGAATAAGTCTTTTCTTTACGTTGAAAACAACCATTTTGTTATCAATTATGGCGGCCGGTTAGGTGTCGAGCTTTGCAGCGCGGTTAGACTTTCTTGTAAAGAAGATATAAGAGCACTGATTCAGTTACGGTTTCAGGAAAAACACCTTTCACGTTCTTCTGTGTTTTAGTCGTGCCAGTCTTTCCAAGACGGCCGTGAACCTGTATCGAACGTGCCCCTTTAAGGCATTGAACCAAGGTCCAGTTTGTGTTGACTCTTTGTTACAGAGAAGAAACAACCGAGATCATCTCAAATACAAACGGAACCAGCAGGTGCAGACAACTATCCAGATGGGACGCTTTTCTCTCCAACGATAATGTCAAAGCAGCAGGAGATGTTCTTGATGGATGTGCTACCTAACACTGCAGTTAGATCTGTCTGCATGTGTCAGCCTGACTGGACATCTTCAGGAGCGCATGAGAGTCCAGTGGTTCAAGACCAATAATGAGACCATAGAAACAGTCCAATCTTAAGGCACAGTCAGCCAGAAGATTTCTTCGCTGATTGAATCCGAAAGTTATTCTAAAGTTGGATCAAATGCAGTGCAATATATGTCCGGAAAAATAAAAGTCCATACCAAATTTAAACTCTCCTTGTATAAACTACAGATTTAAGTACGATATAATAAGACTGTTTCGTCACATGAAGATGTCCATTCTGGTATTGATTATGAACAATTTAACATCTTGAACCACTAAAAATAAATACTGAACACTTTTATTTCTGTGGGAAAATTGATTAATTAAAATAAATAATACAAGTTGCAGTAATGTTATTTCAAGACAATATGCAACAAAGTTGGAAAAAAAATAAGTAATGGGTTTTGTATTAGGAGATTCATTACCGCAGATCTGGGTCAACGATAAATAGATGAGAAAATGCCTGAAAGCAAAGATCGCACTAAGATTTGCTCTCGGCTTACACTGCTAAGCCAAGTACAAATGCAAGTAGAAGAAATAATAACGGGACGGACAGAGATGTGTATCGTAGACAGTGTAACGCTCTTCTTACATAACTGAAGCTCACATTTCCCGTCTCTTTCTCACTGCTCCTCCTCGCATTCTGTCCTCTCTACGCTCCAGCTCAGCATCCCATCCTGAGTGAATCTGGCACTCTCACTACCTTGAGAAAACGATCAAATCTCCCCTCTTCCTTGAACATAAAGGAAAAATAATCTCCATATCCCCCCTTACATTCGATTCATAATACAATTCTTACACAAAGAATATCCCTCCCCATACATTCAGTTCCCTTCCACGTTAACCCCTCTTCAACGGCGAACGTCTACTTGGACACGTCCACTGTCTTCCCCTTCCATTCCTTTATCTAAAGCATGATTCCTCCTGTTAAAACAAATTTTTGTACATCCGTCATACGCTGTGCATCTCTCCCCTACTCAACTCTTATCTCCCTTCTTACTTCAAAATTGTTTTCGTTTGCTGTATCATTGAAACTCTGGGAATTTCCCTCCACCGCCACTGCTTTACTACCGCCCTTTAGTCTTCCGCATTTTAATTCTAAAAGCGACCTAATACGCTATATAAGAAGCAATGCAAACACACATTCATGCAGTTGTGTGCCTTTAGTGTTGGACAGCGAAAGCCACTGAGGAGCCTGAGGATACAACACGAATCGAATTTAACAGCATGGCGTTCTTCAAGGTGCGTCTTGTTACAAAACCTATACTACCAGTACAGAAATTATCGCAATTCAACATAGGAATACACTTTTGACAAATTGCTCCTCGCGAGAATTCGAATTATGGATATATCATAATTGGATCTGAATTACGTTCTTCGAGTGCTTGAAACTGACGTGACCAAATCTCTTTTTTGCGAGGAAGAAGTTGGCAAGATTGTGCTAAATTGGACGAAGATCCGACTGAGCACTGTTTAAAAATTAATTTACAATACTTAAAACATCACATTAATTTAAAAGTATGACTGCAGTATATTTTTTCCTTGAGTTTCACTTCTCACTAAAGTTTGTTGCATTTTAACCGCTGAAATTTGAGTGAAGGTATTAAAGTTAAATCATACAGTCCAAAGGCAACAGGGAAATGGGATATTCAGGCACTGATCGTGTAACATCTGTAGGAAACATTAAAATTTAATTTTGGAAAAATAAATTTATTTTATTAAAAGTATATAGCTTGAACTTTAAAGAACACCGTTAACAACTACAAGACAAGAAACGTATTAGCTGTAACATCAGAGTTATGATTTGAAAAAGTTGCACTTAGTATATTCAGGCGTAACGTTCTTCACATGTTTAATTTACGTAGAAAATTTCGTATGCAATTTTATTGTTTGAATATTCCTTATAGATCACAGGAAGTCTAAAATACAACCCAAAGTTGTATTTTGACAGTCATCGGGGCATATCAGTTATCCTTCGAATCCAGAACAGAATTACATTCAGTGGCGTATAGGATTTGATTGAAAGGATCCCAAACGAAGTACGTAATATTGCGTCGGTGTGCTCCTTATTTTCGTTGAAGGCTTGAGGAAAATATTTTTCTAACTGAAATTTGTGACTGGCCAAAGTAGATGATGAACTCGGCAACATTCTGAAGCAAGAGGTAGTTTCACTGACTTGCGTTTTGATACACCAAGAGAGCAAAGAAACCGGACAAGAGACACTGGAAAATAGCAGACAAATTACAGATTTTCAAAGACTCGTTAACAGTCTTACGGGAAAGTGAATGCACATCTAAGCAATTTAGGTTATATAACCGAGCCAATTCCTTCTAAAGAAAAATTAATGTTGGTATTTCACGAAGTCTAGAAACAGTTCATCAAGGCACCGTTTGCAAATTTCATAATGTTCCACGAGTTTCCTCCTTTACACTCACTCTATTTCTCTGTAAATCTAAATCTAAGTTGAAACATGCATGTTCCACAGAAAAATGTATTCAGTGAGGAAATTAGATTGAAAAATAATAATACCTGATTAACTACAGATATTAGTATTACATTGATCCCATTATGCTATCAACATTCACACAAAAATTCACTCTTCATAAGGCAAATAAATACATTCACATATTGTATGTTGCCATTTAGGGTGCAAGAAAAATGATAAATATTTTTTTAAAATTTACTTTGTACAATGAAAGGACTAAAAACATTTATATTATCTATTAGTGTATGTATTACGTATTTCGAGTGTCCTAATAAAACAAAGATCAGAACAAAATAAACCATTTAACATTTTCTCAATCTCAAATGCCAAGGCAAGAATTCAGGCCATGATTTATAGTTATTTAGACTGTATGTATCTTTAATATTGTCTCAATAAAACGAAAAGAAATTAAATGACTAATTGGTTTATATTATTTAAAAGCACATATTTTATTAGAATCGTTTTCTTTATTAAAAAGTTGATTCTCTCCATTGTATTTAGGTATTTTTTATCTTCAACTGATAAATCAAAATGCTGGCAATGAGTTTAGTTAAATTCACTAAAATTCACTAAAAACGTACAAACGAAAATTAATTTTCTTCTCTGTCACACGTTTCTCAAAATCCTCCAAGATAACTAACCTTACAGTTCCTTAAACTTGTGGTTATTCCAAATACTATGTTAAGCAAGTTACGAAATCACTTAATAACATTTTGCATTCAATGTGATAAAAACTATAGCCCAAACTTTTTATGACCTAGTTACATAACACAAAATTAATTAGCAATACGCTCTCAAAATGTTATGCATTGTTTCAAGTCATCCTCTGTTATTCTTTCGTCAAAGACGACACGTCCATCACGAACGGAGATATAATTTCATACTTTCCTTCCCGCAGGTCAGACAGTACGACCAGTAATTTGAACGCCTCATTATCCAAAACTACTCGGTTCTCCTGACTGACCTCACCTCTATTATAACACGTACCTGTATAGACATACAGGCGCCTCAGACAAATCTGTATGTCTTAATACAGCTCATGATTGCTAAAGAAATACCAAAGTATTAATACACAGCAAGATTATAATCCACAAACACAATTTCAGTTGCTGCGTTATGAAGAGAGAAGTTAAGTAATGGCCAATCCGTAGTTGCTAGAAGCTCAGTTTGAGCTACATCGCAGATAGATTATCAGATTGCATCTGGCCATCACCAGACTTCCATTATGTGTATCCGGGTTTAAGAACGAATTTACAGTAGATAAAGATGTGTAACTGAAGATTTTCTCCGGTCTCTCCCACTTTTCTTGTAATCAGATTCACAATTATTCAAAACGCCAATACTAAATAAGAGAGAAATAGAGATGGCGGAATTGAGAGAGATTTTCTCGAGGACCTCCCGCTTTCACTTCGATTGAACATTTCATTGCTTGAACGTCTCCAACAGGTATTATTATTCAGGACCTTGTTCAAATATACCCTAAATCTGTATGTTTCCATTCAGATTAGAGACAACGTTTCTCATACATACAAAACAACACGTAAAATTATATAATACACAAGAAAAAATTATCTTATCAACTACAAGGAGAC